TATCTAGTGACTAATGACATGAGATGCTAGAGCAGAAGCCCCTTGTCAGCTGCAGGGGCTGTACTCAGGGAGGGGACTTTCCTTATGACCTGACTCAGCTGTCCTTTCAGGGCACGGGCCCAGACCTAGAGGAGAGCACCCAGGCTTGGCAGAAACGGCGCTCTTCGGATGATGCAGGTATGAATGGCTGCCCTCACTCGCTTCCTTTGACCCCTTTCTCAGGGGTCCCTCCTAATTTGCCTTTCCCTCTTTCCCATCCCCCACTTCCACTTAAAGGGCCTGGAGCCTGGAAGCCCCCACCACCACCCCAAAGTACCAAGCCAGGCTTCAGCGCCATGCGCCGAGCAGAGGCCACATGGCACATAGGTATGGAAAGCCTCTTCTCGGGCAGCAGCGCTGAAGGCCCACCGTGTGTCCAAAGAAACAGAAACGATGGCCCCTGCAATGGGGAATTTACAACCTAGGTGGGGCAGTGAGAAGTCAACACAGTGAAAATGTTTAAGGATATTTACAAAGCTACATCTGAAAGAGATAAAACAACCCAAGCCAAAGAAAGGTTCTACAGAACAAAAGTGGCGCCTTCCCCTCTCCTTGCCATAATGCTTTGTGGATGATTCAGGTGAATCCTCTAGAGAGTATGTCACCTCTAGTCACTGTCAGCAGAATGGCGCCCTCTAGAAAGAAGGCCACTCTCTTCACCTTAGCTGGAAAGAGGGTAGACAAGCCAAGAGGCTAGCAAGTGCCAGCTATGCCAGGCCCACCTCAAATATTCCAACCTCCTCCAAAAACAATTCACCAACCCATCCTCAGATCACTCAGAAAGATGCCACCAAGAAGGGCACCCATGAGCAAGAGCCCTGGCTTAGAAGTCAGAAACCCTGAGTATTAGTCCCAGTTCAGCTACCCACCAGCCATGTTGACCTTAAACACATCACTTAACTTCTGCCTTCATGACTCTGGAGGAATAAAGGGGAGAGAGCTTATTTCAGGTATGACACTTCTCTTCTGCTGGGATCAGGGCATCTTAGGAGAGAACCAAAGAAAAGCTGGTCAACTTAAGTTCCTGCAGACCTGGAATATGGCCCTCCAATACTATTGACATGGACAAAATCTCATAGACATAGATACCTACTCACCTGCCCCATCCCCACCCATCCAGGCCAGGGCATCAGAGCTGGAAAGAGCTAAGAGATGAGCAGGTAGGTCTTGCTTGGGCCTGTGCACATGCTCCCCCTTATACCATCCTGCACCATTCTGCCCTACTACTCCCTCCCTTGTAGTCCAGAGCCAGGCTGGGCCTGAGAGGCTTGACAATGCCCACGATGCTGCCCCATCCTCTAAGGCCAACCCAGCACTCAGAGCATCTTTGCTGATTTTCCCATCCCACTCAGAGAATAGCTAAGCCATCCAAAGTGGGGCTTCATCCTTCATTTAGGAGACCACAGCAGTCAGAACTTACACACACACTCACCTTCTGTCAGCATCCTCCAGGCCTCTCTTTCATACACCTCACAGATACACACATAGACAACACACTCAAGGTATCACACACTCAGGCTCAAGTTGTATAAAGCCATGGAGGTGGGAGAGTGGGGTGCCAGGGCACCTCTCCTCGTGGCTCTCACCGTCTCCATCAGACTGGCAGATGGAGTTCTGGGAATGCCAGGCTGCAGCCTTGGCAGGGCCTGGGACACTGCGGTCCTGGATGGGCAGCCATGCCTGTGGACCCAGCAGGCCCCAGGCCCTGGCTCTGCCCTAGCAGGAAAGGGCTTAGGGTCCTGCTCTGCTAGAGGGGCAGCCAGGCCACAGTCGCCTCCAGAGGTGATGGGCTCAGGACGATCCTGGAGACCAAGGGCTAAGGAAATGTGGGAGCATAAAGGGGCACTGAGGGCAGAGATGTGGGAGCAAGTGGGCTTGGAGGGGAAAAGTCCTGGCATCCAGAGCTTCATGGGGAGAGGAGGCCGGGGGGGAGGGGGGAGAGGGTATGCAAGAATGCCTTTTCCTGCAGCTTCTTCCCTCTCTCCACCCCCAGCTGAGGAAAGTGCTCCCAACCACAGCTGCCAGAGCCCCAGCCCAGCCTCCCGAGATGAGGAGAAGGAGAAGGAGTGGACCCTATTCCCAGAGAGGACAGTGCCAGCTAGGAATGCCAAGGTGAGAGCTGGCGAGGTGGGTGAGGAAGGCACCATCACAAGGCAAAGGGACTAACTGAACCAGCATCTTCCTTCCTCTGCCAGCTGCAGGAGCCCCCTTTAGCTCCACGGCCACCCAAGCCGGTGGCTGTGCCCAGGGGTCGCCAGCCCCCCCAGGAGCCAGGGTGCAGGGAGGAGGCCGAGACTGGGAGTGCAGCCCCAGGAGTGAACAAACCCCGGCTGAGGCTGGGCTCACAGCAAGACCAAGAGGAGCTGGAGACCCAAGGTCTGCCACCCTGGCTGATGGGGAGAAGGGAGCTTCAGAGCACCTCTGGGACCTTGCTGCACGCAAGGGCTCCCCTTCTGGGCGTGGAACAAGTGATAGCCCCAACTTGTGGGCACTCATGTGCCACGTCTGCCTCAACTGTCATTTAAGGGCCCCCTGACCCGGGTTGCCGGACCACCCCACTGAAGCCCAAGAGGACGCGGCAGGCACAGTCCTGTGACAAGCTGGCGCCTGATAGGAGACAGCCTCCTGACCCCACAGGTGGTAGTGGGGAGGGTGAGAGGCGGGGTTCCCTGCCTACCCATCTGTCTAGCATGCCCACCTATGACTGGCTCTCCCTGCCCAGGAAACAGCACTCCCTGAATTTGTCCCCAGCAGGAACCAGTGAGCCAAGAACAGACTGACAGCCACTGCAACACCCTTCCTAGCCTTCCTCTCTACATGTGCCTCACAAGGACTCAGACCCCCACTCACCCCGCACCCCCAGGCTTCTCTGCCAGCCCCCCAGCCCCACAGTGGCAGGGCTGGTGGAGGGAGAGCAGGAGGTGGGGGACAGAAAGGGAGGGAGCAGCCTGGAGAGAGGGCTGCTGACTGCCTTGCTCTGCAGAGAGCTTGGGGTGGGGGCCTGCCTCCTCCTCTGGGAAGGTGGATCTCTGTCCCTGTAGCCCCAGGAGGTTCTCTCCCTACTTGTACAGAATAAAAAACAAAATCACTACCTGCCTCAAGTCTCTACTGCCTTCCCCACTCACTGCCCCCACCTCTCACCACCTGCTCCTCTTCCCACAAGCCCCCAGAGCTTGGCCACATTCAGGGAAAATGGAGGAAGGCCCCACGGGGATGAGGCTGAGGGTCTGAGAGGAGAAGAGGGGAAGGGGCTTTCACAGAGCCCCAGAGAACTGCCAGATGGGAAGGGACTCACAAGTCCCTGAGCCAGGGTGGGTGGTATATGCAGGGTCAGGGCTAAGCTGGCTGGCAAAGGGACGGCAATGACAGAAGCCAACTCTGTTGTGTGCCCAGCTTAGGGTAATGCAGTGGAGTTGGAAGGCCCTAGTATATGGGAGGAGACTGGGGGGCAGTGTAGGGTGTGTGTGTGTGTGTGTGTGTGTGTGCATGTGTGTGTGTTCGCACATGCTCACTAACGGTAGAATTAAATGATGTTGTGTCATCCTGGGAGCATCTTCAATACTCTCAATAATAGAGTGGCCTGTAGGTGAGCAGAAGTGTCCATGGTGTGAGAAGATCAGCAATTAAGCGATTTGTTTCCCTTTGGTGTACTAGCAAATACTACCTTGGCATTCAAGACTCCAATCAAGGGGCTCCTCCTCTGTGAAGCCTTTCCTGATGCCCTCCCCCTGCTCACCCGATTTAAACCTTCCCTCACTGTGGCCCTACTACATCTTAAACAGGCCTGTAACTGCACCTGTCACACTAAATCACATTTGTGTATTGGCCTATCACCTCTCTGTGTGTCTATCCTAAATACAAGTCAGCCTCCCCCAGGGGTGGGTACGCTGTCTTAATCACCTTTGTAGCCCCAGCACGTGGTACAGTGCCTGACACCCAGGAGATGCTCAATAAATAGCTGCTACCTTAATGTGGGAATTCCTGGGTGATGCAAACAGTTGATGTGGTCAGCTGCTAACCAAAAGGTTGGAGGTTCGAGTTCACCCAGAGGCACCTTGAAAGAAAGGCTTGGTGTTCTATTGCTGAACAATCAGCCACTAAAAACCCTACAGAGCACAGTTCTACTCTGACACACATGGGGGTATGAACAGCAAAGAGGCTGGAGGGTGATGGTACTGGTGAAAGCTCTTTCATATTCATCCCAGATCACCATGTGCCCAAATGTCTTCATGTGTGGCTTGCAGCTCCCCAGGAAATTGCTCACATCCCCTGGCCTCAATAGGGAATGAATAATGTCTTGTTTCCTTAAGATCTGTGGGTGGCATGGCCCCTCCCACAAGGATGTGCCCATATAGGCTGAATCTGGTGGGGAGGGGAAGGCATTGTAGGCACCAGGAAGATGTACATCGCCCCACTGTGTATGCAGGGGTCTCCCCACTCTTCAGGGAGCTGCGTGACAACGATGTGAGGTTGTGTGTCCTTAAGCAATTGTGTCCATTTCCTTGTGTCTCCCTAAAAAAGTTGTCTAGGGGCCAGACATCATTCTCAAAGATAGGAGGTTCAGCATGATACGTGATGGTTTTTAAGACGTCCATGAATATATACACTCTGTTGTATTCTGGGTTGGTGGAGTGAGTGTGTGTGTGTGAGAGAGAGAGAGAGAGAGAGACAAGTATAGCCCAGTGTTCTTGTTGATGTGGCTGTGAATATCCTTAATAAACGTGACGTTGAATGTGTTAGAGACTGGGTGTGTTTCCCTCCATGTATCCCTGGGGCTGTGACTGTCATGGTGTCACAGTGAGTTTATGTACGGACGTCTGTGTATGTCAAGATAGGTGTGAGTCTATGAGTCACGGATGCTTGTGTCTCCACCGTTTCTTTGTGTGAATGTGTGTGTGTGTGCACGCACCACTGCAATGTGTGCATCTCTGTGATTCTGGGTGTGGGTGTGGTGTGAAAGGGAAGATGTGTGTCACTGTGTCTGTGGGGGTCCTGCCTAGGAGCCACCCCCTAGCCCACCTTCCTCCCCTGGCTCTGTGGCTCCCTCCCAGGCAGTGGCCCTGCCCCTCCCCTCTTCTCCGTTCTCTCTCCCCGCCCAGTCTGTGCGGGGGAGCTGGTGCTGTGGCCCACCCCCCCAACCCTCCCCATCCAAGCCCTATAAATAGCAGCAGAGCCAGAGCCGGAGCCGGAGCTGGAGCCGGCGCCAGCGGCTGGAGCAGCAAGGGAGTCAAGGCCAAGACTGGAGGGCCAGAGCGAGGAGCCCCCGACTGAGAGCCCAGGTGAGCCAACCCTTCCTCCCTAGCCCAGCCCTGGCCTGGCCCAGCCTGGCCCAGTCTCCATAACAACATCTCTGCTAGCCCCCAGAGAGGTCCCCAGCCCTGTCCAACCCCCTCACCACCACATGCCCTTGCCTATATCAGGGGTCCTATGAGTACTGGGAGACTGGTGGCTAGAAGGCAGAGAGAGACCTCCCTCCCAGCCTAGACCCTCCCTCACATATCCAGAAAGGTGCACACTTTTGGGAGGTGAACACCCAGCCACGGAAGTGTCCCAATTCTGAAGGAGGTACAGGAACTATCACACCCTCCTGGAGACAGACACACGACTGCAGGACAGACACACGGGGTGGGGACACTCAGACACACCAACATACACTTGCTCAGAGAAGCACTACATAGGAGCAGACAGCCTCACCCTGAGATGTGGACAGACACAGATAGATGGATGGACCAGCCATGAGCTCAGGCCAGTGTACCCCTGCCTGCTACTGCCTGAGGCTTGGTCCTACTTCTGGGGGAGGGTGGCAAGCATGCATCCCACAGGCAGCATGGAGGGGGCTGCAGCTCCCCCAAAATCCTGTTGCTAAGAGACAGTGCCGGTGTTGCCAAGAAGTGTGAGAACAGGGGAGGTGGGGAGGGATGCAAAGCTTGTCATAGTGGGAGCCCCTGCCAGGAACCTGGAAGAGGTTTCAGCAAGGATAGGGCCCTGCCTCTTAACTCCCCAAGCCCACCACCCCATCTTTCCATCAGCCAGCTAGGAGGTGAGTGGGGGTGGGGGGATGGATGGGGACAGCCTAACAGGGCACCTTTCAACCTATCTCCTGCCTACTGTAGACTCAATTCTTCCTCAGTCCTCCTCAGACCTCCAGGGGCCTCTCCACCCCCTTCCCCCAACCCCTTGCCCCAGTTCAGCTCCCTCATGCCAAGACTGAGTGCAGTGCTGGCTCAAACATCAGTCGGGAAACAAGCGGAAGGTGCTGAGGCAGCAGAAAGCATGGATCAATTGATGTCCCGAGGAGTCAAGACTGCCAGGAACCCCCCCAACCCTCGAGCCCTCTCCAGCCTTATCTATACACATCTAAGCCAACGGGGGGTGACAGAAGCACAGGGGTCCTGGGCAGGAGTAGAGGCCCGGGTCCTCTGCCCTCGCTGCTCCGAACCCCAGGAAGGCCAAGCAGAGAAAGCAGGCGGGCCTCAGGAATGAGGGCAAGGGAGTGGGGCCCAGGGCCCCAGAGGACCACCCCCCACCCCACACGAGGTCTCTGGAGTCCCCACCAGAGGTGAGGACTGATCCCTCCCCTGGCAGGTGTCTCTTCTGCAGTGTCCAGGCCCGTCTGCTCTGTCCCCACAGTGACATGTCGGACTCTGAGATGGGATGGATGCCTGAGTCCCCAGCCATGACACTGGGGGCCTCAAGGGTGGAGCTGCGGGTGTCTTGCCATGGTCTCTTGGACCGAGACACACTCACCAAGCCCCACCCCTGCGTGCTGCTCAAGCTCTACTCCGATGAGCAGTGGATAGAGGTGACAGCGGGTTCGGGCTTCCCTTAAATACCCTCTGGCCTGGGAAGAGGGGAGGCTGGGTGTGGCAGTGAAAGCCTCATAGGGAAGTGAAAGGAGTCCAGGGGGCCTTTTCTAGGTTATGTGGGTAACCTTGGAGATGGGTGTGCCATCATTAAAAACACACACCATTTTACAGCTTCTAAAGTCCACAGTCCCAGAGGGTCCTAAGATAGCCCCAGAAGCAGTGGGATAGCTCCCAAATGCCTTGTGATAGCCCCAGAGGGCTGATGGGCCAGAGGTCAGCAGCATCAAGCTTTGGGTTCAGCCTAGGGAAGAAAGAGCTAGTCACTAGAGATATGGGGTCCCAAGGAGAGCTGCCATGGCCAGGGAGGTCCAGGGTGGGGAAAGCAGCCTCAGTTCCCAGAGGCTCTCACCCCTCCTGCCGCAGGTGGAGCGCACAGAGGTGCTGCGCTCCTGCTCTAGCCCTGTCTTCTCCCGGGTGCTGGCCCTCGAGTACTTTTTTGAGGAAAAGCAGCCGCTGCAGTTCCATGTATTTGACGCTGAGGATGGAGCCACCAGCCCCCGAAATGACACCTTTCTTGGCTCTGCAGAGTGCACCTTGGGCCAGGTCTGTATTCCAGCCCCACCTCACCCCATCCCATCAGCTTCTGCCTCCAGAAACCAAAATGAGAGAGAGTTTGAGCTCTGGAGCTAGTTCAGTTGGGCTTGGATCCCATTTCCACCATTCACTGGCTGTGCAGCCTTGGGCAAAATACTTAACCTCTCTGAGTCTCGGTTTCCTCATCTAAAAATATGAATGTCACCGTGCCTACCTCTTAAGGCTGCTGTAGAAATTAAGTCTAACCCTCGCTAAATCCAAGCCTTGTGGTCACTCAGAGGGCACTTATTATTCTATCCATCTTACCCTGGTCAAAGCAGGTGGGGGCATCACAGCTGGGTCTCCCTCCACCTCCCTCCCCAGATTGTGTCACAAACCAAGGTCACTAAGCCATTACTGCTGAAGAATGGGAAGACAGCGGGCAAGTCCACCATCACGGTAGGCAAGCCACCTGTACTCACACTTGGGCCAGGCATTCAGGGTGACAACACACCCAGGGACCGCTCCCACCAAAGAGAAGAGACAGGAGGGGAGGGCATTGTGGCAATGCCAGGCAGGGGGCGGGGATGCTGCCACTTGTGTTCACCTTGCAGATTGTGGCTGAGGAGGTATCTGGCACCAACGACTATGTGCAACTCACCTTCAGAGCCCATAAGCTGGACAACAAGGTTGGAACTCCAAGGTCTGGGCTGCCATCTGTCTCCTTAGAGAGCCCCAGGCCCCCCCACTCAAGACAGACCCCAGGGTTCCAGCCCCACCCCTTCTCAGTGTTCACCCCCTTCCTAACCATCCCAGCAGACCTCACCAGACTCGTGGGCTCTTTCCCCTGTCTCCTCAGGATCTGTTCAGCAAGTCTGACCCTTTCATGGAGATCTACAAGACCAGTGGGGATCAGAATGACCAGCTGGTCTGGAGGACCGAGGTTGGTGCCTGGGGCTATGGGGATGGAGGGAGGGAGAGCAGAGTAGGGAAACCTAAACAGGAAGTGACCAACTCCCTCATGCCGCTCCAAGGTGGTGAAGAACAACCTGAACCCCAGCTGGGAGCCATTCCGCCTGTCCCTGCACTCCCTATGCAGCTGTGATGTCCACCGGCCTCTCAAGGTGAAGCCTGAAACCAAGCAAGGGCAGCCTAATATCTGAGATCCTCCCCCCAAGTGTAGCCTCCTACGGCTCCCCCATAAACGATGTGATAAGACCCTCCCACTATGGGGTAGATAACAGTCACAGCTCAATGTTAAGCTTCCTACATGTGTGCCTTTTTGTGCCAGATTGAGCCAAAGAACAAAGTTCAGCAGGTGGCCTCTCTGGGAGGTTGGGAAAGTCTCTTTGGGCCTAGAGACTGTTAGGCCCCAATCTCCCTGAGTTCTTCCTCCCCACCCCCAACAGAAGCCACTGCAAAGCATCCCCTGACTCTGACCACCACCCACACCCCACCCCCTGCCTTCTCAGTTCCTGGTGTTTGACTATGACTCCAGTGGGAAGCATGACTTCATTGGCGAGTTCACCAGCAGCTTCCAGGAGATGCAGGAAGGGACAGCAAATCCTGGGCAGGAGGTGCCACAAAGACCCCCTCTTACCCCCTATAATCTCACCCAAATCCCTGGGAGAATACTGAGGGTGATGCTGAAGAGACCATTGTAGGTGGATAGGATGGTCCTAGGGGGAGAAGGTGGAAAGTACCCTGAGAGGTGCTACTAGAAGGGAGTAAGAAGGGTTACCTGATGGCACTGTGACCCTGGGCTTGTGGGGTGGGCGGGGGTCTAGATGCAGTGGGACTGTATCAACCCCAAGTACCGGGACAAGAAGAAGAATTACAAGAGCTCAGGAACTGTAGTGCTGGCCCAGTGCACGGTAAATCCTCAAGCCCTGCCCTAGCCCCTGCATCAGCCCCAACCCCGGCCCCTACCACAACCTCAGATTCACCCCTTCCCTTGTCTTAAAGACTAGTTTCTCTGCTTCTAGGAGCTGGGAACCCTTGCCCTCTCCCACTCCCAACTTCAAAACCTCTGGCCTCTTCACCTTCCCCACAGAAGCCCCACCCAGCTCCCTCTTCGAAGGCCTTCCCTCCACTTTGCCTCCCCCCATCCCGCCAGGTTGAGAAGGTGCACACCTTCCTGGACTACATAATGGGCGGCTGCCAGATCAGCTTCACGGTAAAGGCCCAGGGGATAAGGGCATAGGCAAGAGGGAGGGGCTAGGCCCATAGTGAAACAGAAGGGCCCAGAATCCCCACTGCCCTCTATGTGGGTTTCTCTTGAGCTTTGGCACTGTCAGCATGCACCCCAAGTCAAGGCTCCCTGTGGGCTCCCCAGACTCATCCAAGTCCTCGCTACAGGTCCTGGTTCTGGCCTAGCCTCTGTTGGCCCTCATAGCCGGGACCCTGACCGTTTTCTCCCCCCGACACCCTCCAGGTGGCCATTGACTTCACCGCCTCCAATGGGGACCCAAGAAGCAGCCAGTCCCTGCACTGCCTCAGCCCCCGCCAGCCCAACCACTACCTGCAGGCCTTGCGTGCCGTTGGAGGTATCTGCCAGGACTATGACAGGTAGGAGGAGGTGGCTGGGGGCCAGGCAGGTAGGCCTTGCCCGATGGGCCCCCCACAGCGTTTTCTTCTCTACAGTGATAAACGGTTCCCAGCGTTTGGCTTTGGGGCTCGAATCCCCCCCAACTTCGAGGTAGGCTGGGTGCCAGGGCAAGGGAGGAGAGTCAGACAGAAAGGAAAGACATGCTATCACTGCTCACTCCTCACCCTCACAGGTGTCCCACGACTTTGCTATAAACTTTGACCCAGAAAATCCTGAATGTGAAGGTATGAGGGGAGATTCCCACCAGCGTGCCCCCCCCCATACACACTCTTGCTGCACATGCCTTCATACCCAGTACAGGAGCACAGAGCCCCTTCACATGGGCCCAGCCCCCACAGTCCTATGGCCCAAGTTCCCTGGCCCTTCTGCCCACCCAAGGCCTGTCTTCATCTGGTAAGACTTCCAGCCCCGCCACCCAGCATCTATTCATCCACCTGTCCCTCTGCTCAGTGGGGAACTTGGAGGGAAGGAATCCTGAGGCAGGGATTTAGGGGTGCCAGGAAGGGCTCTCTGTTGATCTCTGCTAGCCTCACCTCTTATTCTGTCTGCCCACAGAGATCTCGGGGGTCATCACTTCCTACCGTCGCTGCCTGCCCCAGATCCAGCTCTATGGCCCCACCAACGTGGCCCCCATCATCAACCGCGTGGCTGAGCCGGCCCAGCGGGAGCAGAGCACTGGCCAAGCCACGGTGAGGAAACAGAGCAGGCAACTTGGCGCTCCCTCCTTAGTGTATTCTCGAGCACCGGAGCCAGGGCCTGGGCTGGGGACCAACGCCAAGGCATTGGACTCAGAGCTGACCCTTTCTCTCCCTTTGCCTGACCTCAGAAGTACTCTGTGCTGCTGGTGCTCACGGATGGCGTGGTAAGCGACATGGCCGAGACCCGCGCCGCCATCGTGCACGCCTCCCGCCTGCCCATGTCTATCATCATCGTGGGCGTGGGCAATGCCGACTTCTCGGACATGCGGCTGCTAGATGGCGACGACGGTCCCTTGCGCTGCCCCCGAGGGGTGCCCGCGGCCCGCGACATCGTCCAGTTCGTGCCCTTCCGGGACTTCAAGGATGTGAGTCCCTGGCGCTCCCTCCTGGGCAAAGAACTCCTCAGCTCCTCGTGCCCCCAAATCTGACCTGTCTTTCCTACCGGGCTGATTCCAGCGAAGGAAGCTGGAGTCCAGCTGACCATCCCGAAACCCTGCCCCTTCCTCGCCGGACCTCGCCACCCTCATTCAAGCTCCGAATCATGTCTCGGTTTCCACCCCCAGGCCCCACCGTCTGCGCTAGCTAAGTGCGTCCTGGCGGAGGTGCCGCGGCAGGTGGTGGAGTACTACGCCAGCCAGGGAATCAGTCCCGGGGTTCCCAGGCCCGGCACGCCAGCCACGACCCCTCCCCTAGCCCCTGACGCCACCCACCGGACCCACACTCCCTCAGCCTCTCAGTGAGTCCGGGAGGGCCCAAGGAGGTGGGGATTAGGGGCTGTCAGGTGAGCTCAGCTTGACTGGGTGTGGCGCAGAGGGTATTTATGACTGTATCACTCCCTACCAGGTGCCTGTCCGAACCCTTGTGACTCAAGTGACCAGTGCCTCTGCGTCTTGGACAAGCTGTGCTCCTCTGGGTCCTGGAAGTGAATGGTGGGCCCTGTCCCCACTTCCCCAGGCCCCACGCCCCTCAGCCTTGTGGCCCCCTAGTGACTTCCTTCAGTGATCCTGACTTTCTGGCTGTTAATAAAGGAAACTATTCTAAGCCACCTCAGCCTCTACCCATTATGCTTCAGATGCCCACTGGGCAGTCTGCAGTACTACCCTCCCCATACACACACACATATGGTGAGAAATGAGGACCAGCATCCTTTGAAATCTGAGCCAGAACTCCTCAGGCAGCCTGCTGTCTCTGCAGTCTCCCCCAACTATGTGCTGATGGGGTCTGAGGAGCCCCCACCCTCATCGCACAACCCAGGGGGTCCAGGCATCATGGGGGTTAATTACAGGAGATGCACGCAGGTAATGAGAGGCTGTCAAGGGGGCAGGCTGATGCCCTCTTACAGCCATCTCCAGAGAAGCCCAGCTGAGCCCCCCAGGGGTTGAACCCCATCCCCCACACAGCTGTGGGGCGGGCTGAGAAAGGGTGTTGGGGCACTGAGGAGGGCAGCAGGTCTGAACTGCTAGTGAATTAGGGACATAGAGCAGGCATCCAAGGGCTTCATAGCCTGGTTTTCCTGGGTGCGTGGATGTGTATGTTCATGCGCTGTAAATCCCTGACTCTCTACGTGAGTGTGGCCTTAATGGTGCAGGAAGTCCAGTTGTGTACTCTTATTGATAACATCAACAACAATAGCAAACATGGTTTAGCATGTGTCAGGCTTTGTGCTGAGTCCCTTAAATGCATTCACTCTCATTAGGTAGGAACCATTATTTCCCCCATTTTTCTGATAAAGCAAGTGAGGCTTGATTTTAACCCACCCATGGTCAAAGAACTGGCAGAACTGGAACTTGAGCCCAGGCCTATCTGACCCCAGCACCCACACTCTTAATCACTATAGTGTGTAGCATCCGTTTGAGGTGTACCTATATGATCCTCATCTTGAGACCCAGGTGTATGTATACATGCCCTAGTTGTTTGCTCAGGTGTATGTGTCTGTGGATGGGCATCTCTGTCATGTGTGCCATGCAGGGCCTCAGCCAGGTAAGGAAAGTGTGCAAAAGCAGCAGTAGTGAGTCCAGAGAGCAGACAAAGACATGGATGCAATTCAGATTAAGGGAAGAAGAGCTGGGCTCCTGGAGGAACCCCTCTCTGCCCCATCCTCTCCCTTTCAACTATGAGTGTGGAAGGAGAATGAAGAGGCTAAAGGCTCTGTGAGCCCCTCAAAGTAAGGATCCATACAAAGCCAGAGACAATAGCCAGTAGCAGATGTGGTGGGGAAGGGAGAGAAGAGAGCGAAACTCTGAGGGAGATTGCGGAGAGGACTCCCATTACAGGCTCCTGAGAGGAGGAGGAATGAGCTGGGCTAGAGAAGGGGGAGGAGGGAACAAGAACTGTGATGGGAACAGAAGAGACAGCTGGGAAGGGGGAGTCTAGAGAGGGCAGAAAGGAAGAGAGACATATGGGGCCTCTTCCCCCACACTTGCCCGTTTATTATGTCCTTTAGAGGACCAAGACAATGGCTGGTGAGGTGCTTGCTCCCAGCTTAGTGGCCACTCCAGCTTGGTGCCTCTGCTCTGCCCAGAGCCCCACTCACCCTTCCCTTAGGCTGTGAGCTAGAAGGCTGGGTTACCATGGCAACTGTGAAGCCTCTCAGATAACCACTAGCTGGACCACTGTTCCAGGGCTTCCACAGTGGTAGTGGGAGGGGGGAGGCTCCATCTGGTCCAATCCACACTACTCCATCCCATTTTCATTGGCACTCCAGAACTGGGATAGCAACTCAGCACTGGGCAGGAGCTTCCCACTTCACATCTCTCTCTCTCTCTCTCTCTCTCACACACACACACACACACATATACACAGAGAGAGAAAACAGTAGCCTAGAGCAGGAATAAAGAATGAATACTTCTTTAATTGCAAGAGCATTTAGCCAATAGCATTAGAGTTCCGCCTGAACTTCAAGCTTAATTCACAGTAGCTGCTCTCTCAGCTTCTTCTCATCCTCGGAAAAGTCTCACCTCAGCCCTTGGAGAGGCACAAGGTCACATGGTCTATGCAGGTCTGGAGGCTGAGGCAGCCTGGAGCAAACAGCATAGGAGCAGCGCGGTGCTTCCTCACCTGGGCCACTTGCCCAATGGGTAGGCCCTCTCAAGAAGCTGAAGCAGGATGGGAGGTCCTTTTGGGGGATTCTTGGAGAGGCCATTGGGGCTCCCACACTACAATGAGACAATGCCAGAACTGGAGAGGCGTCAGAAGTCATCTAACCCAAATGAGGATTACGTGAGGCAACTGAGGCCCATGAAGCAAGGATCTGCTCCAGGTGACAGAGGGATCCTGTGGCAGATCTGGAACTAGCACCCAGTCTTCAGACTGCCCAGGGCTGTCTCCCAGCCACACCAACCACCCCAGAGCTCCTGTATCAGGCCTTTGCTGAAGCTCTGGGCCCTGGAGGCTGCTGGGTTGGGCAGGAGGAAAGCCTCTTGGATAAAGTCGCTCTTACTGTTGGGAATTGAAATCTTGAAAATGCAGTAGTCCTAAAATGGGGAGGTCACAAGCCTCAGAGTGAAAATATAGCCTCCTCGTGAATTACCATCTTAAAGCACTATAGGTTGAAAACCTTGAATTAAAAATATAAATTGACGGCAGAGTTGTACCACTCCCTCACACACACACACACACACACACACACACTCACCCCATTTACTCTGTCACCCAGCCATCATCCACCCCTCCCCTACCCCACCACCCCAGTCTATCTGCCTTGCCTGGGCACTGGCCCCTGCAGATCTGTGTCTGGTCATGTGGGTGGGGCAGGTTTTCAGTGTATGGCCTGCTTGAGGGGACGGAAGGTCATGGACCTCTCTCCCAGAAAATGACTGCAGCTAACCTCTGGGCGTGCCTTGAAGGTTCAGGAAGTTTGGGGATATTTGTGTAGCCATACCACGGAGTGCCTGGTACCAGAAGACGCTGGATAACGATCTGATGAGTGGTGCAGCTGCCTCCTGGGTGGTGCCCCCCAACCACCCACACCACCACCACCCTGCGGCCCTGATCCAGCGTCTCAGAGGAAGAAGTGGGCGTGGTCCCCGGACCCAGCGCCGCTGGATGTCATCCGGTCACAGCGAGCCTTGTAGAGGTCGCGCTCCCGGGCCAGGCGGGCCACTTCGGCCCGCAGCGCCTCCAGCTGGGCGAGCAGGCGGGCGCGCTCGGCCTCCAGCCCGCGCCGCTGCTGCAGCCGCTTGGAGCGGCAGGCCTGCGCGTAGCCGCGGTTCTTCAGCGTGCGGCGCCTCTGCTTCAGTCGCAGCGCCTCGTCGCGTCCGCAGCCCCGCAGCTGCCGGTTGAGCTCCCGCACAGACATCGACAGCAGCGCTGCGTCCGAAAACCGCTCGGCCAGCTGCAGAGGGCGAGTGCGGAGACCTTGTCAGTGCGGGTCCGCCCACTCTACACGCAGGTCACAACTCCAGCCTGCACCGCCCGCGGGAAAGCCCGCCCCCCGGCTCCCGCCTCTTCCCCTGAAGGCTCGCCCTTTACAGTCTATGCCGCAGCCCAGATCCCGCCCCAGGTCCCAGTGCGCCTCTGGGGGGCCCCCACTGGTCAGTGCCACAGGCCACTCGTCCCTTTAGGTCCACGCCTCGGTGCAGGCCCCGCCTCCGGCGATCAGGCTTGCCTGACTTGCATCTGGACCCGGCACCGCCCCTCAGCCATCCACAGCGGCCGCTCTAGGCAAGGGGCGTCCAATGGACCAGTCCAGTGGACCCGCGGCCAGACAGACCCCGCCCCTCCAACGCACAACCCTTGCCTGTCCTGAAGGCCACAACCGTGTGACCCTCAAAGGATTTGGATTACATCCTAATGCCCTCAACACCCCCATCTGTGTCTATAATTAATTGGATGGATCTCAATCCCTCTTGAGACGGTTAGGGGCTGAGGAAGTACCAAGTCTTGAAAAGACCAACCTCCTTTAGGGCCCCACAGTCATAACCCCACTCCATTCCACACACAAACGTTCCCTGGTTTTGACAAGGTACGCCTAATTACCTCTCCCTAATTGTCTGTTAACAGAGCCCCGGTTAAGTAGTGGTTAAGAGCTCGGCTGCTAACCAAAAGGTCAGCAGTTCGAATCCACCAGCTGCTCCTTGGAAACCCTATGGGGCAGTTTTACCCTGTCCTATAGGGTCACAATGAGTCGGAATCAACTTGACTGCAACGGGTTTGGTTTTGGTTTTTTGGAACTCCGTCTTCTTCCTATTCCTTCTGATTCCGCCCATTAATTTCTTTCCGTTTCAAGAGAGAGGAGAAGAGCATAATGTACTTTTCTCTGTCTAATTTCTTTCAAGGGCCCTTTTTGCCTTCTCCTTTCTTCTCTTTCCTTCCCTGTCTCTCTTTCCCCAGTCTATACCCTCCCCAAGAACCCTCCTTCCTCTTGGCTTGTCCTTCTCCTCCACTTCCTCCTCCCTCAGTCTGCCTCCCCTTTAGACCACCTCACTCACCTGGTCGTGCTGGGCTCCTGTCTCCTCTGGGCTCCCTGGGTAGTAGCCTTGGGGCCCCTCAGCAAGGACTGGGCCCTGACCCTGCAGCAGCTCCACAGCCTCCTCAGGACTCAGCTCCAGTGCCTCCCCAGCCCCCAGCTGCTGCTGCAGGGTAGCCAGCCAGTACAGCTCCTCCAGGCCTGGCCGAAGGCCCTCAGTGGCCCCCACCACACCTGGCTCACTGAAGGTGGGTGAAGAAGGCACTGAGCTGTAGGGTGTGGAGCCCAGTGAGGCCATGGGAGGGCCAGATCGCCCTCTAGGGGGCTCCCGCTTTACCTCAAACTTCATCAAGTCAAAGTCATTGACATATTCCATGGCCAGGGGACTGGGGGGCAGTGCCATTCTGAGGCTGGGTTGGGAGGGGTGCACCTGGAAAAAGAGGAGAGGTCTGGAGCACCTGGAGGCTGCCTGCCAGCCCCCTTTACCAAAACATGCTTCCCCCAAAGCCCAAGCGTCCTGGAGCCACAGTTCTGGAAAGCCAGAGTGAACATGCAGCCTTGTTCCCTATATAGTCACCTCCAGGCCCAGGGTGGGGGGGAGGGTGGGAAAGAGCATAACATTTGGGTGAGAGGGGCTCCTGACAGGGAAAAAGCAGACTAAAGGCCTGAACAAGGAAGAGGACAGCAGAGCCCGTTCCCCTACTGGTGCCTCCGGATAATATCTATGAAAAACAAGAGCAATACAGCATGCTTCCAGCCCTAGTGCTGGGACATGCTGAGAGGCTCTGTCATCTCAAGAGGCATCATCCATTTCCAAGCAATTTTTTTAAAAAATTGCTTAATTAACTCTGACAGAATATGTGTGTATTTGAGGACAGTGGGAAGGCATGTTTGTTGTGAATTTTAAGATATCAAGGATACTATGCTATTGTACACCTCTGTCTCTCAGAATGCCCAGGCCAATACCTTGTACATGGAAGACTCTTAGTACACATCTGTTCTATGAATTAACCAAGCAATGAATCCCCTTTACATAAGCAAGAGACTTTCCAATGAAAAAAGAATGTCCTAGAATCCATTGTAGAAAGACAAGGACTGAGTGGTGACCGTCTATCCCCAAGGCCAGCCTCTCCAAGGGGAACTTACCAAGACTGATTTTCCTCCTATTTAAAACCTGCTGTGTTGTGCAAACTTGGGCAGATCACCTTCTCCTTTCTGACCTTAGTTTTCTCTTCTGTTCAGCTAGGGCAATTAGACTTTCCCAAAGTGTGTTGCATGGAACACTCAGTTTTGAGAAATGCCCAAGAAGAGGTCTGCGTGCAGAGATTTTGAGAAATACTGCCTCCTATGCCCACCTCTTGGAAATTCACGAGGCATGACAGCATATTAGTACATATTAATATGAGAAGTCCTTCAGTTCAATTTCAAAACAGAGTTTCCCAAGTTTTTGTCACCAAGGAGCTCTCCTCCTTGTTATCAATCATGGAGCATGTGTTCAGAGCACACCTTAGGAACCCCCAGGTAGATGACCTCGGAGAGCCTTCCCAGCCTGGAGATCCCATGATCTGGCCCAGCTCCCAGTTCCAACAGCCTTGTCCCCATCTGCAGAAGGGGCAAGGCAGGGAGTTCTTATCCCCAGAGCTTTCATTTTGATTCCATCTTGATGCCCCAGGCCTAGGTAGACCTCTTTCCTACCCACAGTTCAGACCTCCAGATTCTGCCCAAACAGGTAGGAAGAAGCACAAGGCCTCTCTCTCTTCCTGTATCATGAAAGGATTTCTGCCACCTACCCCTGGGAGGGCAGAGGGGATAGGAACAAAGACGCAAATTTCAGGAACTGGTCCTTGGTGGGGAAGGAGATGATGAGACACTAAGAGAGATTGACTGAAGAGGTGTCCAGGAAGAAGCGGATGTAAGAGAAGAGGTAAGTGGGGAGGGTTGTTTATCTTTCTGAGGTGATAGCTGTGAGGGCATAGGCCAGTCAAGGTGGGAGTGGGGCAGAGTACAGAAGTGTGAAGATTCCAGAGCAGAGAGCAGACAGCAGGTGTCGAAGGAGGGTCTCTAGGTGAGAGGCTTGGTGCCCAGGCAGGCCCAGGGACATACTCACTTCAGGGTTGGCAGAGATGATGTGGTCAGTGTCAGAGCCAGGCAGGCACAGCTTCCCCAGAGACTGGAGGCCCCATTGAACAGGACCTGGTGCCTCTGTGCTCAGAACAAGGGGCTGTAGGCACAGAGCCCAAAGAGCACTCTTAAAGGGCCAGCGCTCTGAGGTCATCTGTGGTCCTCAGACCTCCAGCCAATGAGGTAAGGGGATCATTTGCATATCCCATTGGCCTGGGGTGAATGGGGTGAGGAAAGTATGCGTGTTCTCTAGGAAGGAGAGGGGGGTATCCTCCTCAACAAAGCTCCTCAGTGATGGTCTGACCAACATGTGCTCAGTCCCCAGTACACAGAGCCCTAACCACTGCCTTTCCATATGAACACAACCCTCAGCCCTCAGCTATTGAAAGCCTGGGAATGGGAAACAGGGCCAGACAAGCTCCCAGCACCCCCATCCTCCATAGCAGTGTCTTTAGAGAGTACAAAAAAAAAAAAAAAAAAAAAATACCAGACCTGTTTCCAACTCATAACCCTATAAAAAACAGAATAGAATTCCCGGATAGGGTTTCCAAGGAGCGGTTGGTGGATTTGCAGCCGAGCTCTTAACCACTGCACCACCAGGGCTCCTTAGGGAGTCAAGTTCTCCCCAGTCCACTCTCACCTGTCCTAGGGGTCTCTTCTGCACCCTGCCCCACCCTTACCCTGACAGCCCTCGTCAGAAAGATAAACAACCCTCCCTACGACCAATCTTCAGCCTCTCCTACTCTTGCTGACTCAGCCCCAGTACAGGCAACCCAGCTTGGGAGGAAGAGTGGGAGAAGAGAGAATGAGGAACTCTGCTCCCTCCTTCCGGGATATTGCAGGACACTGATATCTAATCACCACCAATCCAGCCCAGGCAGTTAGTTTGTAACTGCCCTCACGTGCCCGCTGCTCCCTCTTGCATTTTGCCTATGTGTGCTTCTGTCTCTTTCTCTTCCTCTCTCGGCCATCCTTGTTTCCAGATGGCTGGGGCGTGACCTACATATTCAACCTAATCCCCTAACACCTCTTAGAGCTATCATCCCCAAGTAGGAGTTTAACAGAGATACTAGGAATTAGCCAAGATGTTTAAACCTGTCTGAAGCTATTTAAATAGGGTCTGTATTAGAATAGGACTCCAGGAATTAAAGTCTCTTCCCTAACCTCTGAGGACACCCAAACACTCCCATGGGGTTAACTAGTCTTCATTCCCAACCCACAGAGAGACCTGGGTATCCATTAACCCTGAGGGTCATTAGTTATATCCCTTAACCTGGTCCCAGGCTAGCCTTAGGTGTTGGGTGAAGAGCTGGTAGATGCAGACAATCTAAGAAAGTGGTTCTCAAAGTGTGGTCCCCAGACCAGCAGCCTCTGCATCACCTGGGAACTTGTTAGAAATGCAGATTCTCTGGATTTACCTCATACCTACTGAACCAGAAACTCTGGGAGTGGGGCACAGAAATCTGCGTTATAATAAGCCCTCCAGGCAATTCAGAGGCCCACTTAACTGTAAGAGCCACTGATCTAAGGAATGTCTGTAGTCAAGCCAAATTTCCTTGGGGTGTGTGTGTGTGTGTGTGTGTGTGTGTGTGTTCTCTTCTACTGTGCTCTCTAACACATAGAAGACCTACATCAGGTGACATCACTCTCTTCTCACACCTGGGTCTCCATTTTATGGAGCAGAGACCACCAGCATTATTCAAGTAGAAAGCCTTCTCCCTGTGAATGCCTGGGTCTAATGCTATTTTCTCAGAAGAACCAATAAGCCCAAAGCCTGGGAGCAGAGCCACGAAATGGGGATGGGGAACACGAGACAGGGAAGGCCACACACATACTGTAGAATTTAGCTCTAAGGCAGACACTCAGGACAGAGACGCCAGAATTTCCCTGGTTGGAGAAGGAAGAGGAAGTGTTTGGTGCAGCCCTCTTTTCATGCCTGGTCCAGGCTGGCCAGACACTTGTCCCCACCTAGCAGCTGTCATGTCTGTGCTGATCCTCTTGTTTGCTAGTGGGCTCAGAGGAGAGGTGGGAGGGCTAAGCTGCTAACAGGCTAAAGGAGTCAGACTAAACAAGCTCAGGCGAGTTGAACTGTTCGGGGCTCAGACCAGGTGCCACTAACCAGGGAAAGGAGTGTGGGGAGTGAAGGCAGAGCCAGGGCTGGGCCAGAGGGAAGGACCAAGGACACAGAGAGGAGATGCTGCTGCAGCCAGCAGGGACCAGGGAGGTGGAGTCCAGCCCACAGTGGGAACTCGGAACTCAGAAGCTGGGAAATGGATACTGGAACTGACTCCCTCAAGGACATCTGGGGACAGAGAAATAAGGATGAAAAAGATGAGGCCAGGAGGGACTTAGGAATGAGAAAACAGAGGAAGAGAAGCAGGGAAACTAGCTAAGGAGGCAGTCGATGTAGAGCTGGGAGAGAGGGCAGACCAAGTCAGGTGCTCCACAGGGATTTGGATTTAAGGAGGCAGAGGGACATAGGCACACAGAAGAGATGGGCAAAGGGCCACAGGAAACTGAAAGAAAGAGAGGGAGCTTTCTGGAGGGAACCAAGAAGGGAGTAAGGGAGAATAGGAGAGGTGGATGGAAGCATAGAGACTAGAAGAACAAAAGCAACAGAAGAAAGGGACAGAGGAAAGTAGGATTAGGCACAAATACAGGGAAACAGAAAGACAGATGGTCAGGACATAGAGTAAAAGTGATAATCAAAGGACAAAGAGGTAGAAAGATACGTACAGAGGGATGCTGGCCATAGGGAAAGAGGGCCTGGAGGTGTGGGGTAGAAAATGAAGAGGAAGGAGAGGAGATAGAACGGAGTCAGCATTCTAGGATGCTACCCCAGCTCCTCAGTCCTACACCCCCATTTCTGGAAAACTATATGACTAGTTCTCATTCCTAATTCTGGCTTTTGGTATCTAGATCTTCGGTAATAGATCCAAATCCTCAAACTTCTTCCTGGTCTACCTTATGTGCTCATTTGACAAATATTCATTAAACACCTACTCTGTGCCAGGCACTGTACTACACATTAAGGATATATCAGTAAATAAGACTGACATCAGCCCTGCCTTTATGAAGCAGAGTAACATCAAATTATTGCTCTTAGACCCAGGCAAGAGCAGCCCCTGCCCTGGGCCCTGTGCTTTGGGAGCTCCACTTTGGTCCTCCTCTGGTTGTGCCCCATCCCATGAGAAGAGGAGTCCAGTCCTCTTCTGCCCACACCCTACACTATAGATACATAGGACCCTCGAATTCCCTGTGCAAAGGACCCCAAGCTCACTTCTAGGGCCTGCATGGACCTCTTCCCTGGGTCTGACCTCCCAGGGGTGGACCACACTACTGAGGCCCAAAGGTTGGCTAAGAGGAAGCCATTTGCAGGAGGATGCAGACAGAGTTTGGATGTGCAAACTAGGAAGTCCACATGAATGCACATGAGGCCACTCACAATACAAGATGGTGTCGGGGTGGGGAAAGAAGGGGGCCCAGGTGAGGGTCAGTGGCCAAAGGCTGGTCTCTGCACACCACCACATTCTGGTGCAGAATGCTGAGGATTCCAAGAAAAATCCAAATTTAAACCTGATCTTCCAGACCATTATGATGGTATATTTGTCAAGGGAGAAGAATAGAACATATTTTATTTAACAGTTTGTTTGCTTAAGTTATATGTTTTAGATATTTAAACACAAGACATGTGAGCCTCTATTTGTACTCTGCCCCAGGTCCTACATGCGTTAGGGATGGGCCTACATAAAAACAAACCATTATAACTGCGATGAGTGATATGAAGGAGAAGGGCGAGTTGCTATGAGATTTTATTTCATGAAGGCCTAGTCTAATAGGGTGGGGGAGGGGTAGTTTTGCAGGGATAGTGTTCCTAAGGAAGCTACATTAAACTGAGGCTGGTTGAGTGAGTTAAGAACTGGCCATGCCTGAAGGTGTGAAGAGGGTAGGGACTCCAGGTGTCAGGAACAGCATATGCAAAGGTGCTGAGGCAGAAAAGAGGTAGACATGCTCAGGAAACTGAAAAAAGATCAATGTAGCTAGAGAATAGAAAGCAAGGAAGGTGGGAAGAAAGGTGAAAGGTGAGGTTGGAGAATTCAGCAGGGGCCAGATCATGCAGAGCTCATAGGCCAAGCTAAGGATTTAGGCTTTATTCTAAGAGCAGTGAGAAGCTATTAAAAGGTTTTCAGTGGGGACATGATGTGATAAGATTTGTGTTTGAAAAGATCACTTTGGCTCTAATGTGGAGAAGGGAAAAAATGGAATCAGGGAGTCAGATTGGGGGGCTAATGCAGTATGCAAGTTGAATTTGAGGGATATCTTAAGGATTCTCCAGGAAACAAACTCCAAAATGGAAACTTGTGCACAGGTGGTTTGTTGGAGAGGGAGTGAGAAGGACTTGACAGGGAGAAAAACTGAATAGCATTGGAATTGCAGCAGAGACCTCGGCTGATGCATAGGAGCTCTGGAGCTAGGATGGACTTTCCAAGTTGCCAAATTTAGGCAAGGAGTTCAGGCTTTTGTATACCCCCCCACCAACTCACCACCCCCCACCCCTACCCCGTCAACCAGCCATTGGACAGCTCCCTTCAGCCACAGGCAATGCTCAGGGAAGTACTCAGCTGTGAGCCATCAGTAGCCAACACTCTGCAACTGGGACAATGAGTACCTCGATCCTGAAGGGGGAATCTGGGCATTGTACCACCACATCCACTATAGGGAGTCCGTTTGACACTCAAGGGCATAGCCCAGAGGGCCCCAAGGAAGGAGAAAATGCAGGCTAGAGCAAGGCTGGTCACACCCTGCCCCCTGGTGGTGCTTTTTGGATACTTGGCCAACTGGTGGGACAGGCTAGGGGGAGGGCCCAGGAACTGAACAAAAGTGTGTAGCAGATAAGGGGGAATCAGCAGTGCCAGGAAATCCTTGTGGGAGCCCCTTACTCAGACGGCCTAAAGCTAAAGAAGGAAATAATGGTGGGGGCAAGGGGGTGAGTAAAGGTTCAGAAACATGGGATTCATTCATTCTTTCATTCAACCAACATTTGTTATAGGCCAGACACTGCTAGGAGCCTAGAATTAAAAACAA